GTTTCGGCCCGAAACGTCAGCCTTTCTGCTCCTATGATGCTGCTTGGCCTGCTGTGTTCATCCAGCTCTGTACCTTGTTTGATTCCAGTTTTCTTTTTGTACTGAAATTTCACCACCTGTCAGAGTCGGAGACGTCTCCATGTCTCCTGAACATTAGCCCGGGGCTCTGGATAAAGCCAATCCAGGGATATTACCAGTAGATCACTGCCTCCCCAACGCCAGCGAAGGCTCACGAGGAAAAAAAGAGGTTACCTTTGATCCCAAAGGTGGGGCCCTGTGATGGTTGACGAACACAAGCGAAAACGTTGATGTCCAGGTGAGCTCCGATGGCCTGAGCCAGGCCAATTGTGGTGGTGCTCTTGCCTTCACCCAGCGGTGTGGGGGTGATGCTGCAAACATAAACTGGCATTTAGAAAGATACAGCAACCCCTGCTCCCCCACCCCCATCACAATAAAGGTTCGAAGCGGGAGATCTAAAGCAAGGCTGGCCGTACCCTGTGACAACAACATATTTCCCGTCTGGTTGGTCCTTCAGCCGGGTCAGTGTGGAGAGAAGCACCTTTGCCTTCGATATGCCGTACAGCTCCACTTCATCAGATAACAAACCAACTTCCTTGGCCATGCGGCTGATGTGCTTTGGTGTGCAAGACCGTGAAATCACAATGTCACTGGTGAGAAATAATGTGGTTTTTCAAAAAATTAAATAAAATCCAAGCACCCAGGTCACAAAGCACCCAGCACCAATACATTTACCTCCGCCAGTCCTCCTGGTCAGTTTCCAAGTGATAGAACTCCATACCTAACCACGATCTCAGGGAGTAGCATGCTCCCAGTTCACAGAAGGCCATACATTCAGCACCCACTCATAGGGCTGACATTTCCAGGGTAGTACTTAGGGAAATACTAAGAACTGCAGATGCTGGAGTCAGAGATAACACAGTGTGGAGCCGGAATAACACAGCAGGCCAGGCAGCATCAGAGGAGCAGGAAAGTTGACGTTTCGGGTCGGGACCCTTTTTCAGAAATGGGGAGGGGGAAGGGAGCTGGGAAATAAATAGAGAGAGGAGGGGTGGGGCTGGGGATGGTGACAGGTCAGTGCAGGTAAGGAGTGGTGGGGTTTGGTCAGTGAGGTGGGAGGAGCGGATAGGTGAGAGAGAAGATGGACAGGTTGTGTCAGGTCAAGGAGGCGGGGATGAGAGGGAGGGTTGGACATAGGATGAGGCCGGGGGTGGGGAGATTTTAAAACTGGTGAAATCCACATTTAGGTCATCAGGCTGTAGGTTCTCGAGGTGGAATATGCGGTGCGGCTCCTCCAGTTTCTGGGTGCCGTCATTGTGACACTGGAGGAGGCTCAGGATGGACATATCACCCAGGGAGTGGGAGGGGGAGTTGAAATGGTTCGCGACTGGAAGGTGTTGTCGTTTGTCGTGAACAGAGCGCAGGTGTTCTACAAAGTGGTCTCTGAGCCTCCGCTTGGTCTCACTGATGCAGAGGAGGCCACATTGGGAGCAGCAGATGCAATAGACTACATTGACGGATGTGCAGGTGAAGAGGGAAATATATCTTTGGTTGTGGGGTTGAATTGTAGGCGGTGGAAGTGGTGGAGAATAATACGTTGGATGCGGAGGTTAGTGGGGTGATATGTCAGGACAAGGGGGATTCTGTCTTTATTCTTGTTGGGGGAGGGGATGTGAGGGCAGAGGTGCAGGACTTAGGGAGTGCTGCCCTGTTGCAGACGCTAACCTTTGGATAAGACATGACATCGAGGCACCTCACAAGTAGATGCAAGAAGATACCACAGTCACTACTGGAAGGGCAAGGCCAGTCTCTCTGGTTTTCTGGTCAATAATTATCTCCAGTAAACATTACTGAAAACAGATTATCTGGAAAAGATTGCACTGCTGTTTGTGGGATCCTGATTTGCACATACTGGTTATCACTTTCCTCACTGTAACACTTGCTTAAGCAACTGTGAAATACTTGGGATTAGTGAAAGGCACTGTATAAACTTTCAACATTGAGACCCACTGGATTGTTATATACCCACAGGAACAGCAGGAGGCCATTCAGCCCTGTCTTGGAGTCTGTTCGGCCAGTCAGTCTGCAGACATGCACATTTTCCAGCAGAGGTCTGTATAATGATCAGGGATGAGAAGGCGAGATGCTAAGTGGAGCTGATTCATCACAAATCAGGAATCACACCCAGAATTTCCCATTAACAGTGAGAGTATCATATCACGTGAGGTAGTGATCATATACTCACTCCACAGGACAGTGGGCACAGCACAACTAGGACAATGCTCAGAGTACAGGTATTTCTCCTATAACACAATAGTTGCACTCTTGTATGACCTCGCGCTATAGAAAATCAATTTGGAAAATCGCATTATAGGGAAATCACTATAGAAAATCACTATACTGTACAGTAGTAAGTTTGCATTATCCAAACAGCATCCACTATTCATCAATCGCGTTACAGTCAATTTGCATTAATGAAATACATGTTATAGCAGAAATACCTGTATTGCTATATGTCACACTATGAGTAGGAAAGCAGGGAAGAATTCAACACAATATATAGTGACTTTAACACTGCCTCTAACCAAGAGCGCCAATTAATCATAAAATGTTTTTAGGAGGCCATTTAGCCCACTGTATCCATGCTAGCACTCTGCAAGAGAAACTTAACTTGCCCCACTCTTACACCCATATATCACCGTTCCTTCAGAGTCACTGGATCAAGATTCTAGAACTATTCAAGCTATCTCAGACATAACCATAAAAAAAGACTCTTCCCCCACAGCTCTCTGTGGCAAGGACTTCCTAGGACTCACAACCTTCAGAGAAGAAATTCCTCCTCACCTCAGACACGGAGAGCTCACACACCTACCTGGGCACAGGCTCCACACGGTTAAGCTTTGTGTATTGAATAGGCCATTTTCCTGGCTTGCAGTTCTTCAAATAGCGTTTGGCCCCCTCGACAGTGTTCTATCACAGAGTGTAACATTTATATCAACACAAGGAGGTTTTATACTGTAGTCTTCTCTTTTTCTTAAGGTCTCTACACTTCCAACCCCATTTTCTAATGGCATCAACTTTTTATTTATCCCTTCTCAGGACGTGGGCATCACTGACTAGCCCAGCATTTATTAGCATCCATCCAATTAAGGATGGGTAAGTGTCAACCACATTGCTGTGGGTTTGAAGGCCAATAGTTTCCTCCCCTAAAGGATATTAATGAAACAGATGGGGTTTTCTGACAATTGCCATTGGTTTCATGGTCATCATTAGACTTTTAATTCCAGATTTTTATTGAATTCAAATTCCACCACCTCCCATGGCAGGATTTGAACCGGATCCCCAGGACGTTACCTGGATCCCTGGATTAACAGTCTAGCTATAATACCTCTAGGCCACCACCTCCCCACAGAAACCAGTGTCCCCCTGTGTGCCTTAACCAGAAGCCCAGCCTGTTAACCCAGTGAGACAGACCACGTGTATGATTCTGGTCCCCCAGGCACATCCGCAAAGACGCAGAGTCACCCAAACATCACAGGAAGCAGAGGGTCTGATTTCTCAGCACCACTTCTGCCTCACAAGCCCAACGTTGAAACCAGTGCTCAGCTTGATAGTAATAATCACTTCTGGAACTAGCCTGGATTGCAGCCTCAATGCTGCAATAAGCCTAAAGAGTGATCAGGGTGGCTAGAAATGCCTGTCTTTAACTGGGGCCTCAGATTCTCCCAAAGAAGCTCACTTAGTCCCAACAATTTTTGTAGGAACAGGCAGAAACTGCATCCACTGGATGATAGTCAGAGAACACAAGAACAAGACAACAGCCAAAGGAACCAGAGGGAGGAACGGCGCAACATTTTAAATGAAAATGCACCACGTTATGATGGTCTGGAACGCTCTTCCTGAAAGGGCAGCGGAAGCATTCTCAATTGTAAACTGTCAAAAGAAAACTGAATAAATATTTGAAAGGAAAACACCCAGAGGAAAAGGCAGGGAACAGGGTTAATCTGAAAGCTCTTCCAAAGAGCTGGTGGGCTGAATGAGTGCTGTACAACTCTGGGAATATCCCCTTTCTCAGCTGTTGTCTCTTGTTGCTGGATGTATTCACAGCTGTCCTTTAAACTCTGGTACCCAATCCAGACAGTCGATTATTTATCTGACCCTCGCCAGAATGACTCATGCCATCGGACTCTCAAGACAGTCAGCATGGACAGGACTAGAGTGGCATTTCTAACAGCTGGTCTAAGCCAGGCATGAAAGGGAGTTGAACAGGGAAGAGAAATGGCAAAGATCTTGGCAGTAGTGCTGGTACTCCCACACCCAACCTGGAACTGGGGAATTTCTGTGCCAGGCAGCTGACGGTGGTGATTACAGAGTGAGCCTGAAAATCAGAGGAATCAGCTGCTCCTTAGATGGTGTCCTGGGTTGTTACAGCATGAAGACTGGATGCTCTGAAAGTTAGTGCAGTAACTGGAAAATGTTTTATAGGATACTGGAATAGGCTGTTGTAAACTGTTGTGAGGCGCAAGGAAACTTCATTTGTTTTAATTGGTTTTCAGTGAATTCACAAAAAACAGGAGTACACAGCCCATCTGATTCACTCTCTGGGTAAAGCTCTTTACCCAGTATCTCATACAGTCCCTCTACCGGAGATGAAATCTGGGAGTAAACCATTTATTTCATTCTAGATGTGTATTTCAGCTCAAGTATCCTTGTAAAAGTGGGAGGATCTCCCATCATAGAAATGTAAAAGACCAGAGTTTGCTCTGCCATTCAGTATGATCATGGCTAATCATCTAACTCAGCCCTCTTTTCCTGCTTTCTCCCCGTGTCCTTTAGCCCCAAGAACTATATCTAAGTCCTCCTTGAAAACATCCAATGTTTCGGTTTTAAAGTTTTCTGTGGCAGAGAATTCCACAGGCTCCCCACTCTCTGGGGGAAGGCATTTCTCCTCATCTCAGTCCTAAATGGCCTAACCTACACCCTTAGAAGTGTGACTCCCCCTGGTCATTGGGAACATCCTTCCTGCATTTACCCGGTCTACTCCTGTTAGAATGTGATGGGTTTCTGTGGGATTCCTCCCTCATTCATCAAAGCAATCTCCCCCAAAGCAACAGTGAAGTTAATAGTTAAGAGTACGATGAAGATGTATAAACTCACTGCCATAAGCATACAGACAGTCATTGGCCCAACTCCGCCAGGCACTGGGGTGATGTACGAAGCCACTTCTTTGGCTTCATTGTAAGCCACGTCGCCAACCACACGCTTCCCACTTGGCTTGGTGCTGTCTGAAACAAAACAGGGGCCAAGCTTACAGCAAATACTGACATTACTAAGCGTGAGGATAGCTGGGACACAATCAGGGGATTCATATACAGAATTACTGATAATCGAGAGACAGAGAGAGTTACAGCCTGGGGACCAGTCAAGGTCCCGAGTATTGTCATGTGAACGTTTCTGACGTATCAGTGGATATTTGGACTTCATGTGACTGAGGCACACACACTCTGGATGCAACATAATCTCAAAATTCCAACAATTACAAGGAGTCATAACTTAAAACGCCACTTTTCAACTGAACCCCTCAACAAGTCTGCAATCTCTAAATCGCAGATATTTTCCTGGTGTAATTCATGTAGGGAGTCTGCACTGCTATGGCAACATGCACTTCTAAAAGTACGTTATAGTGTGGAATATAAATACTGGTGGTAGAGGTTCAGAATAGTAGGAACTGCAGATGCTGGAAAATCCGAGACAACAAGGCGTAAAGCTGGATGAACACAGCAGGCCAAGCAGCATCATAGGAGCAGGAAGGCTGACATTTCGGGCCTAGACCCTTCATCAGACCCTTCTCTGGTCTTTCTGGTGTGATTCCCAATCCAGCATGTCTAGGACATAAATTGGATGTGCAGACAACCATTTTAAAAAAAAAAAAATCATTCACGATGTGAAGGTGTCACTGGCTAGGCAGCATTTATTGCCCATCCCAAATTGCCCAGAGGGCAGTTAAGAGTCAACCACGTTGCTGTGGGTCTGGAGTCACATGTAGGCCAGACCAGGTAAGGATGGCAGTTTCCTTCCCTAAAGGACATTAGTGAACCAGATGGGTATTCCCTGACAAATTGACAATGGGTACATGGTTACCTTTAATTCCACAATCTGCCATGGCAGGATTTGAACCTGGAACCCCAGAAATTTACCTGGGGTCTCTGGATTAACAGTACTGCTATAATACCACTAGGGCACTGCCTTCTCCTTGGGACATGAATACCTTTAATTCCAGATTTTTATTGAATTCAAATTCCACCATGTGCCACAGTGGGATTTGAACCTGGGACCCCAGAACATTAGCCCAGTTTCTGAAGATCCAGTTTACAGAGCGAGTATTTCTCCCAACACTGCACATTCCATCCCATGAAGGAAAATCAGAGCCTCAGTCTCCACTGCTGACACACAGAAAGTCCACTCCTATGAATGAGTATCTACAGCATGCAGGTAACATCAGTCAGTTTCTGATATTAACTTGCACCCTTCTGCCCTCCTCTCCACAGGTTTACATCCACCCCCATCCCCATCACATCCACAACCCCATTGATATAATACAGTAAGAATAATTCTCTGCCTTTGCCCACTGCTCTGCCCCCACCCCCACTTACCCAATCCAACTGGACTGAGGAAACAAAATTAGTCAGTCATTGAGATAAGATGGGAGAAAACAGACACAAGGTGCGACATACTCTGTAGATCAGAGTATCCTACCTGGAACATTGTGGCTTCATCAGAAGCTATATGGATAAAGAAATCCATATTTGACCCAATTACACTGCGCTCACGAAAAGAGAAAGCTAAGAGATGACCCGATTGAGATATATAAAATCGTGAAGGTGTTTGAAGAGATAGACATAGGGAAGATATTTCCACTATTAGTATGAGACAGTCACTAATAAATTCAATCTGGAATTCAGGAGAAACACTTTCAGAAACCCAGAGATTGATGATTCTGACCCAGCTGTCCTACAGTGTAGAGCTGAATATGATCATACAAACAGATGGAGGCCATTCAGCCCCTTGAGCATGCTCGGCCATTCAATAAGACGCTGGCTGATGCAATTGCAACCTCAAATACATGGTCCCACCTACCCTTCATAACCTTTTACCCTTCAGTCACCAAGAATCGATCTACCTCTGTCTTAAAAATGTTCAAGGATTCTGCCACCCTTTCAGGAGAGGTCCAAATACCCAACTATCCAAGAAAATTTTTTTACATAATCTCGGTTTTAAATCGGTGACAGCTGATTCTTAAACAGTGACCCCTAGTTCTAGATCCTCCCATGGGAGCAATCATCTTGCCCACTTGCAGCCTGTCAAGACCCCTCAGGATGTTATAGGTTTCAATCAATCACCTCTCGCTTTTCTTGCAGACACAAGCCTAATTTGCCCAACCTTTCCTTGTAAGGCAACCTACCCATTTTAGGTATTAGTCTGGTAAACCTTCTCTGAACTGTCTTCAATGCATTAACATCCTTCCTTAAACAAGATGATCCACCACAGTAGACAGTTCTCCAGACGTGGTCTCATCAACACTCTGTACAACTGAAACATACCCTCGCTGGGGGGGGAAGATCTATTCTTTATTCCATGAAAGAATACAAATAAAAGAAAGTTAGATCAATAAGTGAGGGAGAAAGAAACTGGAAGATACAGAGGAAGGGGAGGAGCTTTACCAACACATTGGGCTGAGTGACCTGTTTCTGCGTAATTCTAGAAACAACAATGTTCATTTGTATAATAAAGACACCATAGTCTTACCTACCATACAGCTGCTCTCTTGCTAGACAGCGATAACTGGCTGTGGTTTAACCTGACAGTCACCACACCTCCGGTGAGGGGTAGAGGTTGAGAAAGAGAGTCCTTCAAGGTGACTTCAATCAGGGTAGGAATTGAACCCATGCTGCTAGCATCTCTCTGCAAACCAGCCATCCAGCTAACTGAACTTTGCCCAGTGACATGAAACTTCGTAAACCTTTCCAAGCTGCTCTGAGGGGACTATCAGACAGATTTACAGAAACATTAACAGGTTAGATGATCAAAAGCTTACCAAGTGTTTTAAACCCAGGGAGTGACGTACAGGGGTAGAGAGGCGGGGAGGTTTAGGGAGTGAGAGAAGCTGAAGGCACAGAAACAAATGGTGCAGCGATTAATATAGGGGATACTCGAGACGCCAGAAATAGAGGAATGCCAAGATTGCGGAGATGGAGAAGATTACAGAACTGTTTAAAAATGAAGTTGTGAATTTTAAAACTCAGCTGTTACTGGACTGGGAACCAATGTCAGTCAGTGAGCACAGTGAGGGTGATGGGTGAACGGTGCTTGGTGAGAGTTGATGGAAAGGTTTGAATGAGCTGAAACCTAAAAGTAACAAATATGCTGAAGGTTATATGAATGTTAAAGCTCCTGCAGTCTCTATCTATGAAGAGCAGGGGCGATACCCCGGTGTATTGGTCAATTCCGAAGCAACATCACTTACTGAAACAGATCATCTACAATGATAAGTGACAATATTTGTAGATCTATTCCATCGCTGGGACACCTGTTTCCACTACTGAAATGTAAGTTCCTCTTCAGACAGGGTGGTGAACAGAGACGATTGATTTAGTTTAGTCATGGAGCTCACTTTGCTCATATCAGTTCACCAAAGGGAAGGAGGAAAGCAGAAAGAGAGCAGAACTCTGTCTCAAAAACTCCTCTTCCTTGAGCAAACTCGTGTTTTCGTCCTTATTTCGAGTGACTGAGGTCTATGATCATTAAAAGGGAGGAAGGAAATAAAGTAAAAGGACGCGTAAATAATTTTCTAATCAGAGTCTCACCAGGAATGTAGTTGATTCCACAATCAATGACGACAGCACCTGGTTTGATCCAATTTCCTTTCACCATCTCAGCTTTGCCAGCTCCGACCACCAGAATGTCGGCCCTCCCAATCTAAAGAGAAAGAGGGCGCTTTGAGATTTACATCATCAGCCAGAGACAAGGTTCAAACAAACACACTTGGGACTCAATGCTCTTTCTAAGAGAAGCCCGAGAGGTGAGTTAATGGAGTGAAGGGGGTCAATAGGGTTGACACAGAGAAGACGTCTCCTCTTGGAGATGAATCTAAAACTAGATGCGATCAATAGAAGACAGTTACTAATTCAGGTAGGGTCAATTGATCCATTAAAGAGGGCATTGGATGGTTATTTGGAGAGAAAGAGTGAGTAAAGTGAATGGGCCAAAAGCAGGAGATTGGCAATAAGAACATCAGAACCAGGAGCAGGAGTAGACAATTCAGCTCCTTGTGCCTGCTCCGCAATTTAATATGATCATGGCTGATTTCATCTTGGCCTCAACTCCACTTACCTGCCCGCTCTCCACAACCCTTCGACCCATTACTAACTCAAATCTGTCTATCTCCTCTTCAAATTTATTCAGCATCTCCCACAACATGGGGTTGCAAATTCCACAGATTCATGACCCTTTGAGAGATATAATTTCTCCTCATCTCTGTTTTAAATCTGCTACCCCTTATCCTAAAACTACAACCTGTCAATGAAGAATCAGTGCAGTCACAATGGACCATTGTACATCATTCTAATTCTGTGATTAATATAAATCAGTAGGGGCTTAAGGCAAAACTTCTCAAGCTACAGAGTCGTGAGAATGTAGATCTTTAATACTGAAGTGAATAGCTCCAGTGCTTATGAGGGCTGGGAGGCTATGTTGATGTAAGAGCACTAACTATGATGAATAATATTTCTTCGTCAAAGGCAAGCAGGCAGAGACAGGATGTTGTGGACAATGGACAATGCACTAGGTTTGAAGAGAACAAAACAATTTGACACTTGCACAAACGGCAAAGACTGCTCTGGTGAGCAAGATCACAAGGTTCCATTATTGACCTCACCTTGCCTGCTGGAGGCAAGTGGATAACTGGATTCAATGCGGAAGGGATTGAAGGACCAGAAACACTTAAATGTGGTGAGAAACCATGGGATCCGATCTGCACTGGTAGTCGGCTGGTTGCATGTAGCCTTGTGCATTGGCAGAAACAGGCAACAATTTGCGGTCCTAAAAACAACAAATGCTGGAGATCACAGGGGCTCAGGCAGCCTACCTAGACGACTCTCAGTGCCACTTCATGCTCCTGCCAGGACCTTGAAAAATCTGTTCATTTTGCCTCCAATTTCCACCCATCTGTAACTTTCACACGGTCCATTTCTGACACTTTCCTTCCTTTCCTTGACCTCTCCGTCTCCATTTCAGGAAATAAACTGTCCACTACCATCTGCTGCAAAGCCACTAACTCCCATAGCAACCTTCATTATAGCTCTTCACACCCCACATCCTGCAAGGATTCCATCCCGCAAGGATTCCATCCCATTCTCCCAGTTCCTTCACCTACGTCGTATCTGTTTGGATGATGCCACCTTCCATAACAGTGTTGCTGACACAGCTTCCTTCTTCCATAACCGTGGTTTCCCACCCACTGTGGCTGACAGGGCCCTCAATCACATCCGACTTATCACCTGTGCTTCTGCCCTTGCCCCTTCCCATCACTCACAGCAGCATGTTCAGGTCCCCTTTGTCCTCACTTTTCATCCCACCAGCCTACGTATTCAAAGGATTGTTCTCCGCCATTTCAGACAACTCTAGGAGAACACCACCAACAAATACTTCTTCCCCTCACTCCCCCACCTCTGCATTTCACGGATCCTTGCCTCTGGGTGACCCTCGTCCATTCTACAACAACCAACACCACCCCCCACCCCACGACACCTTCCCACGTAACACCTGCCCCTTAACCTTCTTCCTGCTCATCGTCCAAGGGCCTAACCAGTTTTTCCAGGTGAAACAGCATTTTACTTGTACTTCCTCCAATCCTGCGTATTGTATTCGCTGCACCTAATCTGGCCGACTCTACACCGGAGAAACCAAGCACAGACTGTGTGACTGCTTTGCGGAACACCTCCGGCCTGTGTGTAATTTGGTTTATGTAAGTGGGACTTTTATTTATTGGAACAGCATACCATGAGAATTTTGTTTTATTTGGGAATAGTTAGTAGTTAAGGGGGGATTGTTCGGTTTGTTAGCAGTTCTGTTAATTTGCTCATTGTTACAGCTAGGTTAATAAATTATTACTTGTTGATTACAGAGTGACTGGTAAAGATGCCAGGTAGGAAAAAAAATTATTGAGTACATAAGGTGAACATGTTGAAACCTTACTATGATAGGGAAAGGGTGCCGGATAAACAGGTATTAGTTAGTGACACTCAGAGTGAGGAATAAAATCCAGATGATTTGGATTTTGCTGTGCCTCAGAATAAATTGAATAATGTGGAAGTCCTTAAAGAATGGGATAGGGTAGTAAACTGTCTGTCTCAGGAATAGAGAACTGAATTGAAAGGCTTGTTGGAGGACATATGTAGAAATAGAATGGGGAGGACTAATACAATAGTGCATGAGGTGGACATAGGGAATGCTGTTCCAATAAAATAACACCCCTACAGACACACGCACGCACACGCACACACACACACACACACATTCTCTCTTAAGTGCACGTGCGCACACACATACATACTCTCTCTCTAGCACACACACACACACTCTCTCTCTCACTCTCTCACACATACACAGACACAGACTCTCTCTCTCACACAGATGATTGTGTATTTGCAGATACATTCTATTTTGTTCAAAAAAATAAAACCAGCTTGACTTCAGGTTAAAACACAGATTCTAAACAAGGCCTCACACCTAAAATGCATTGGCTGACCTGAGATATCACCTCTTGTACAATTGATAAAACCTTTAATTATCTCAGGGCAATGACTTGAAAGAAATCCTGGTATTTGCATTTTGATCAATGGAAACCTGTATCTCCTTTCTAACTGATTAAAGATTCAACAGGAGGTGGTCAGCAGGCCATTTTTAGGTTTGTTACCTTTCTGCTTATAAATTCTGTGTCGGTATATCCCCTCTTCCACACTATACCTGAGGAAGGAGCAGAGCTTCGAAAGCTAGTGTTTTCAAATAAACCTGGTGAACTATAACCTGGTGTCGTGTGATTTTTGACCTTGTCCATCCCAGTCCAACATCGGCACCTCCATATCATGGTTTGTTAGTAGTTCTGTTAATCTGTTTACTGTTAGAGTTAGATAAATACATTGTTACTCGTTGATTATAGAGTGACTGCCAGGTGTACATTTCACTTAACCTCCCCCTTTATAACAGATTAAGGGAGTGACAGGCAGGTTATACCACTTTTCACACTTTCCTTTAACAGATTATGGGACGAGTTGAGCTTTTCTGGATGTTTCAGTTTTAGTTATTCAGAGGGGGATAGACCTTAGCTTCATAACATGCTGCATTGCTCCAGTGAATCACAGTGTAAACTGGAGGGACAATATCTCATCTTCAGACTAGAGATAGTAGGAACTGCTGATGCTGGAGGATCTGAGATAACAAGGTGTAGGGCTGGATGAACACAGCAGGCCAAGCAGCATCAGAGGAGCAGGAAAGCTGACGTTTCGGGTCTAG